TATTCCACCCCCATACAAGAGGAATGACTATGAACTCAAACCTAGCTACTTTGCTCTTGTTGGACAGCTCCCCTTCCATGGTTTATCTAATGAACAACCAATGGACCACATTGAGAGATTCAAGTACTTGTTACTAAGCATCAAGGCTAACAGAGTTTCAGAAGACTATCATCTCTGCAAGCTTTTCCTATACTCACTTGTTGGAGAAGTGATATAGCTCAAATTATCCCTAAGGTTACTCCCTCAAAGAAAGAGATCAGATAACATCGTATTTTAGCCCACTTTTACTATGTTTTTATTAGGTTTTCCATGGAGGAATCAGGAGTGAATGGACACTTCAAGACATTGATAACTAGGTTTTTTTTAACACCTAGTTAGGTGATGTTCAATTTCCTCTTAAACACAAACATGTCGATGCAGCTATAGGGGGTGTCAATCCAGTCCACTGTTATTACTAGCAATCAAGATGTGTACAGAAGCAACTAAGTCAAGCTAGATATATAATGATGGTGGGTTTCTAGTACAAATCCTAACCAAGTTTCAAACAATAAAAATGAGAACTAAAGTGTCCTACTCGATCATAGGGTTGAGTAGAACACAAAAAGCAACATGTTCAAGTACTAAAATGCAGTAATAGATGACTTAACAAGGGGATGAAATAACAGGTAAATAAAAGTGTAATCAAGGGGTGGATACAGATAAATCTAAGAAGAATAGAATTCCTAAGGATGGATTCATTAATAAGGGCAACTCTAGGGTTCATCAGGTGGCCAACAGGCGAAATGCAAATACTCTAGACGATAGATTCAAAACAAGACCAATTCACTCTCGTATCATTGATCCTCATAACTTTACCACTTTCTAATTTCAACTCTCGTTGATGAAACATAGCAAAGCAGGCTTTAAGCAACATAAACACCCAATCTCTTGGGCTAGAGTCTACAAATCTCTGGAATTCGTAGATCAGATATCCATTTGAACGTCTTTTGGACGCTGGAATACCTTGGGTCGAATTCCAAACTTAACTGAGCTAAATATGCATTAGGGCCAACGAATCCAGAAGGGATCTAACCTAATCTTAACCACCAGACTAACCTAGATATTACCCTAATCTAATCCATACTCAAGAACCCTAATCACTACTCAAGCAACATAATCTAGAACACAAACCCATAAATTACTCTAAACATATCAAAATGTATATCTAAACAAGATAAACAACTTTAATCAAAGAACTAAATGCATAAACGAAATAGATTAAGAGTAATTAAGGTTTCAAGATTCTAAAACACAAAGAAAAACTACAGAATAAATGATTTGTTCCTTGGAAAAACCCCAAAGTGACATATTTATACTAAAATCTCGAAAACAATTCACTAGAAGACAAGAGACTTGAGGCGGTTTGGATGAATACTCGACCTTGGGGATCAAGTATCAGGGTGCTACAAAGACTACACCTTTGCCTCTATGCTCAGAGTGATCAATTGGTCGAGTAGTTGCTTCTTCCTCTTCTCTTCTTATGCCCAGCTGTCTGGTTGAGTGGGGAAATGAGGAGAATCTGAATGCGCTTTGATCGATCAACAAGTTAGGTAGAATCCGTTCGCCTTGATCGAGTGAAATGTCGAGTAGAGGGTCGAGTGATTGTCTGCTGCTTCCTCTGGTTCCCCTCCGAGGCAATAGAATAACTGCTTCTCCTCTGGTTCCCCTCTGGGGCTATGAATAAATTGTCGAGTAGCTGCTCTGTTGCTTCCCCTATGGGGCAATAGAATCCTCTGGTTCCCCTCTGGGGCAATGAATAACTGGTTGAGTAACTGCTCTATTGCTTCTCCTCTGGGGGAATAGGGTAGAGGGTTGAGTAAACTCCATGTAATCTCCTTCTACACCTGAAAACACACCAAAACATGCAATATGTATGCAAAATGATCCTAGAAGCCTAAGTGAGCAAAATAAGCTAAAATGGTGCAAAATGATATGATACAATGAGCAAATGCAAAGCTAAATGATGATAAATACATGCATAAAATAAGTAGAATACAGTGTTATGAGACATATTTCAAATATTTAAGGTTCAAGGAAGAATTATGAGTTTTCAAGCAAAAATGAGTAGTAGTTGATCAAATTCCGTTTGAGAACAGTTTCTGTGCTTAAGGTGTTTGGCATCAAGCCAAGGTCTTTCCGATCACGGCATCAAGGTATCCCGGTGTCATTGGAAAGCTAGAAGAGTCAAGATTAACGTCGAAGTCTTATTGAAACAATCCATCAAGCCGTTTAGAAGTGATGGCCCGAAGAGTGAAGACATGTTCCAGAATCGCGGTTTGGAAATAATCAATCTAAAACCGCCGACCATGGAGACTTGAACCTGGGCGTCTCCTCGAGTTTTCCACCGACCACTAGGGCGCACAACCACTCCTTCCCCTTTTCTTGCCGCGGACTTCAATCCCTCCTTCTACCCTTTAACCCAATGAAGGCCTAAAATACTAAGTTTAGGGGAAACCCTAAAGAGACCCACGAAATTTGGCAGCCTCCTGCGCCTCCCTTGCCGCCTCTTTTGTCGAGACTCTCAGCTCCATTGGAATTCTACCTCATCGAATCAAGCTCTCAAGCCGTCGTCCATCTTACTATGTTTGTTTATCTTTTCTCTTCTTCTCTTCTCTATTCTCTATTTGTTAAAGGATGAAGATTCATCAACTTTGGATTTCCAAAGAAGGTTTCTAAACCCTTTATATATACTAATTAAAACAACCCGACCCGTTTTCAAAAAAAAAAAAAAAATATTCTCATAAATAATTTATTAATTTCCACAATCAATTAATTTCGATATCAAAGTAAACCACCAAATTCAGCAAAACTTATTCAACAAATAAACTACAACAACTTTCCAAAAATAAGTTATTAAAAATAAATCTTAACCATTTCTAAACTATAATTTAAAAGTCGAGATTTATTAAAACAAACCAGCAAATTATCGATAACAATGCAATTATCAATTCTGCATTTATTCATAAATAAATCATAAAATTCGACCCACAGTGACCACGAAAACCGAGTCTTTGATCATCCTCCTCTCCTCGCCATGATTCCACGTCACATTTTGTCTATACCTGCACCAAGAAAGAGATGCATACATATTTTATTAAATACTTAGTGAGGCGATCCTCCCATCTACGAGCTATACACACAACCAGATCAAAAATTACATAATTATGAATCAAACAACCCAATGAACATTAACTCACTTACACAACCATCCCAAGAAATAAATATGGATCTATAAAAATCCTGCCTAGATATCACAACAAACAACTACATAAATCCAATCGCTTAGATAAGCTCATGGTCACGCACTCAACTCTGATAATGAATGATTTTGGACAAGGAACAAAATTATACAACCAACGATGACAGATATGTCAATAATTTGCATGTTTTCTGCATTCATTCATCGTCGTGTTGAGTCTAGTTTCATGCATTCATCACTATTTCATATCATTTTTTATCATTCTTGCATACTTTGCAAGATTAGGATAGCTTTGCATACATATTGCATTTCAGAGTTGTTTTTAGGTGATGTGGAGCTGTTGGCGAGCAAATTGGAAGAAGCGAGCCGGAATCAGAAGCCACATACTTGACCCCGTGGCCGAGTACATCCATCACAATACTCGACCCCTAGGCCGCGTAACATATAAGTCGTTCTTACAATATACTCGACCCCATGGTCGAGTAACCACAGTCTAGCCCACTCGATGACACCACTCGACCACCTGGTCGAGTAACACTTTTTCACACCACCTGACCACCACTCGATCACCACACTTGACCCACTCGATCACCGCACCAGCAGCTCCAAATCACTTGAAAACAACACATATATGCAATATGCATGCAAAACTATCCTAAACGTGCAAAGTGATGACAAATGATGCGATTCAAGCTTCAACCAGTGATATGGATGTTCATTAGTTAAGATAGAACGAATTTTGTTGCTTTAGATAGACCGATGTGTTTTCTTTCTTCATGAATAAAAGGGCAAAGCTTTGATGGTGTAGTCGAAGTCCGTATGAGTCTTTGTCTTTGTGTCTTCTAACAAGGATACACTACTTAGGCTTTAAAGATCGTGTTGCTACCCATATGTAGCCTACGAGGAAGAAACGATTCGATTCCTCTCCACACTACAAGTGGAGCTCTACCAAGGTATGAGCTCTGATGATTTGGAAAATGAAGGATTGGGATTCTTTAGATTCTTTGTGTATGGTCAAGATTATGTGTTGACAATCAAGCGCTTGGAAGGATTGTTTGGTTTCCCCAGTGGAACGGGAACCAAGCCCAAGTTTGACAGAGATGAGTTAAAGGATTTATGGCTCACTATTGGAAGCTCTATACCGTTGAATTCTTCGAGATTCAAGAGCAACCAGATACGCAGCCTTGTCATCTGGTACTTCCAGTGTTGTGTGGCCAATGTCTTGTACTCTAGAGAGATAACATGGACTGTCACCAACTCGTATATGGAGATGATCGTTATTGCTCTTAGAGGTATTCTCCGCCAAACCAAGAATGGTATGTCTCTCCAAGGTAAAACCAATGACACACCTCTCTTTATACTTCTTCGTATCCACCTGTGTGGATACAAAATCTTGGCTGTCAACAATAACCACAAGAGAGCACGAGGCGCTCTTTGCATAGGAGGTGTTGTCACACCGATTCTCATCGCTTGTGGAGTCCCAATCACATCTGAAGGATTTGAGCCAAGAGCAATGAACCTCAGGCATCTACGTCACTGCGAAATCCTAGAGTTTGCAATGGTCGGCGACAAGCATCGTTTTAAGTTTGAGCACTCTACGTACAAGAAAGCCAACATCCTTCTCCCTAGTCCGATACTGAGGTTACACGCATAATAGAGGGACATAACATTGATTTGAAGCCTGCACTTGAGAACCTCTATTACGAGAACGCTCAGCCAACAGATGAGGATGTTCATACAGAAGAAGCTACTGAGGATGAGATTGGTGAGACATATGAGGAGAAGTATGATTCAAGCATGTATCATTTCAGTGAGCATGTAGCTCAAGCGAGAGAGAGTAAGAACTTGAGTGAAGCTCACAGAAACAATAACAAGTTACAAAAGTGGTGCAAGAAGCAAGACAAGTTCATCATCAAATGTCTAAAGACTATCAAGTCTCTGAAGGCCATTCTAAGCTGCTCGACTTCCACTACACCTATTCTGCAGGGACAGCCTCGTCAGGACATGCCATCGAGGAGATTTGACGAGCCTGAGCCAAGTCAGCACAGACCTGAGCCTAGTGAGCAGAGAGTCTCACATGTCCCTGCCAGACATTCGTCATTCGAGTCCCGGGAGCACAAGAAGAAGAAGAAGGCTATGCTCGCTCGCTCTAGCAGCAGATCACGCTTTATCCACTCGAGGAGATCAATTCGACCACGGTGCTGGCCGCCACAGAGGCATTGAGGTTGAGTACCCACATGCTGGAGCTAAGATAGAACAAGGCGACTCTTCAATGTCCTGGGAGCAATCACAGGCAACTATTGACGACCAACTCCGTTCACTCTTCGACTGAGGTAAGCGTCTCACTTTACCATTGTATAATACCATCGTTTGTTTATATTTTATTTATGTGAAGTGTTTTGTCATGAGTACTCTCTTCCAAAGTTGTGTGATTTAAGTTTGGGGGAGGGCTCAGGAAGTGTGTGTTGCATTGTATATACTCTTTAGTCTGCATTCATCAAAGGCATAGAAAAAACCAAAAAAAAATAATAAATTTCGGAAAATGATTTCGCAAAAACAGAGTGTTCATATTGTTGCATTGCATTTAAGATTGAGTATAGTATAGGATTGTTGCATATGCATAGGGGATAATGAAGAGATAACCTTGTAAGCATGATGATTACTAAATGAGTTATTAGTTCTCTGATGCATTTGAATGACTTTGAAGTAAAACTGCACCATGTTCTATAGAAACCACTCGTTGCATGTCATGACACATTTCCTTGTCAATTTGAACTTGAATCTGACTTATAATTACCATGTTCGCATAGGTTTTGAACTTATAGATAGAATACATACTTGGATTTTCTTTCACTTATTCACCACTAATCTAAGTAGCTGCTTCTATTATTGGAGTAGTTCCTCCACCCTTAACCAACCCTTCTTTCAAGCCATGTTATTTTGTGAGAGCATGTGAGGCCTATTTTCAGGATTGAGCTTGGTAGAACCTGTTAGGTTTGAGCCGACAAGAGTAGTATCCCATGCAGTTCCAATCTGCGTTTTCGGACTTGATAGGACTAGATGGAAACTTATTTGGGGATTGAGATTGAGTGTGAAAAGAAAAAGAAAGAAAATGGGTTAGAGTCATTAGGTTAAGGAAGCTGAAAATCATATTGAGGTCTAGTAAATGTTTGGGAAGCATAGAATTGATAAGATATACTCTAGAAAAAAATATGGCAACAAAAACAGAAAAAAAGAAAAAAAATCATAAGAGCCATGCGAGTTTAAGAAAAACCAAATTCACTAGACTAGACTCATAGAGTTTAAGAAAAGACTCACCATAAGAACAAGAGCGAAAGAAATGAAAAGAAATGAGTTGATCAAAGAAAGAATCGAAGTATGCCTTTAGTGCAAAAGGGTAGACTTAGGATCATCATTGAGTTTAGAGATAGGACCATCTACTTGTTATTCACGATTTATGTCATTGGGTTGATGGGGTGATATTCTTGTATGCATACGTTGGCACTTACCTTTAGCATTCTTCTAAAGCTCCGTCCTTTTTCATTGAGAGTCTCCTGTTATTAAAATTGGAACCACCTTAAAGGGACTGAGGTGTGGGTTTGGATCATAACAGAGCATGGCTAAAGTTTTTAAGTAGAAGTCGATCACCTCGCATCTTAAAACTGTTAGCTTATACATTGATCATAATTGTCTTATCTCATGTTTTGGTTATGAGTCCCCAACTTCAAACCTCACCTCCAGCTTGTTCTTAATTGTCTGCTTGAGGGCAAGCAAAGACTAAGTTTGGGGGAGTTGATAAGTCTGCATTTTACTTGTTTTAAGCATCCATTTCTCATCACCACTGTTTCATACCATTTCGCATCATTTGTCAGCACTTTGCATGTTAGGATAGTTTTGCATGCATATTTGTGTTGTTTCATGTGATTTGGAGCTGCTGGTGAGCTAATTGAAGAAGTGGACCTGATCAAATCAACATACTCGACCACGAGCTCAAATACCGTCATCCTTGACTTCCTTAAATACTTGGCCACAACATCTACAACTCACCACTCGACCCCCTGGTCGAGTAGAGGACTTCACCACTTCTCAACACCACTCGACCCCCTGGTCGAGTAGATTCCTTCACCACTTTTCACCACCACTCGACTCCATGATCGAGCATCACCATCACCTTCACTCGATCACTCACTCGACTACATGGTCGAGTACCACCATCCAATATCACTCGATCAATCACTCTGCCACCAAGTCGAGTCCACCTTCATTCACCACTCGACAGCATTACTCGACTGCCAGCTTCAGAGTCTTCTCAATTCCACACTCAACCAGACATTCGAGCATAAGGAAGAGAAGAAGACTTTGGCTCGTCACTCGACCCACTACTCGACCACCTGGGTCGATTACCGTTCTTAATACTCCCCAATACTGTGTCGTTTTGAGTATTAGGGTTTCAGAACATTTCTCTATAAGTAGCATGTACTTTATATATTCGAGACTAAGTTTTATTCCATCGACAGTTTGTGTGTTCTTCGCTTTTGTAATCCGGATTCCTCTTAATCTATTCAGTATTCGCTTTCCTTTTTACTAAGTTGTTCATCCTGTTATCGTTCTCTTATCATTATGTTGCAATGATGTTTCCATACATGTCATCGTTTACGTTATCTGTAATGAAGTCTGAGTAGTGACTAGGTTTCTGAGGCTATGTTAGAGTAGTTTAGAATCCTCGGTCTGTTAGGTGGTTGAGTTTGATTTATAGATCCCTTCTGGATTAGTTGTTCTTAATGGCTATGGCTTTTTGATCAATTGGAATTTGAGCCTAGACATTTTTGCACCCAAAAGGTGTTCGACGAAATTTTTGAACCACTAATTCCAGATATTTGTGGCTTTGTACCAAGGTATTGGTTACATGGAGCGTTTTGGCTTTAACTTGTTAATTCGTAATGCCTGTTAGGTTAGTTATCGTCAATGGTGATTGAGTCTGTGACTAGTTTAACTTGAGGGTCTCCATTGCGGTGGCACTTAGATTTGGTTATCGATCTTGTTGTCTAGAGGTAGTTTATTGAGCATGTCAATCACCTTTAGATTGAGGAAACTAACTACTCGATTACCCCATCCTCGGGAATTTTTCATCCAATTGATTTCTTTGCTTACACTACTATTGTTCACTTGTTCTTATTACTCGTTGCTTAGTTTTTGCATTTCATACCTGTTATCATTAATATACTCGACCACACCCAGTTGTCTAGTAACAGACTGTGCAGTCGAGTATCTTTGTTACAGTTTCTGCTTGTTACTCAACCACACCGAATGGTTGGTAACAAGCTGTGTTGGTCGAGTGTTTTGATTGTTCTGCTTGAATTTCTGTTTTCTGCATGTTCACTAAGGACTGCTAGAAACTCAAACCCTGTTATTGCTTGGCTTGACTCTGTGAACTCTGATTGCATCTTGATTGCTAGCATCACACTCATTTGGATTGACAACCTTCAGTACTACAACGACATGATAGTGCTTTAGGATTAATTGATCTTAAAAACCTATTATCAAGCTCATGTATGTGTTAAAGTCTAGTTGTTAGTCGTTGTAGGCAAACTCGATCAAAAGGACACCAGAATCTGCTTTTCAACGAAATTATCGACCGTATTGCTCGTTAGTTAAGGGAACGGTTAAACACAAAAGCTATGGCTGAGGATCAGAACCCAGAATTACGAACCAACATTGGTGCAGGCGAGGCACAAAGCAACCACAATCAGTGTAATGGCATTGTGCTTCCGCTAGTGCACAACAATAACTTTGAGATCAAGAGTTGTCTCAATTCCATGGTTCATGGCAACAAGTTTTACGGCCTCCTATGGAGGATCCACTCGATCCCCTGGACGAGTTTGATAGGCTCTACAGCCTAACAGAGATCAATGGAGTTAGTGAGGATGGCTTCAAGCTCAGATTGTTTCCATTCTCTTGAGGACAAAGCTCATCAGTGGAAAAAGTCGCTTCCTCAAGGCTCCATTATACCTGGACTGACTACAAGCAAGCCTTCCTGGCTAAATTCTTATCAAAATTCAGGATTGCAAGACTCCGGAATAAGCTTTCCGCTTTCACCTAGAAAAATGCCTAGACTTTCTTTGAAGCATGGGAGCGCTTCATGGGATATCAGACGCAATGTCCTCATCATGGTTTCTCCAAGGCATCACGGCTAAGTACTCTCTACAGAGGTGTTCTCCCTAAGATCAGGATGCTCCTTGATACAACATGCAATCAAAATTTCCTGAACGAATATGTTGAAGAAGGATGAGAGCTGGTAGAAACTTAGCCCAATCTGATGGCAAATATAATGAAGATTATGACAGAGCCATTAGAGGGAATTTTGATTTAGAAGAGAAGCATCACAAGGATATAAAAGCTATGAATGACAAGCTAGACAAGCTACTCCTTGTGCAACATAAGCAAGTCCATTTTCTCAGTGAAGATGAAACGTTCCAAGTCCAGGATGGAGAGAGTCTCTAATCCAAGAAGTTAGCTATGTGCAAAACCAGGGAGGTTACAACAAATGTTTCAACAACTTCAAGCAGAACAATCCCAATCTGTTTACATAAGTACCAATGTTGTAAACTCGCAAGACCAAGTCTACCCTCCACATCAGCTGAATCAACCCAAACCCTTTGTTCCATACAACCAGGGTCAAGGGTATGTTCCTAAGCAGTAGTATCAAGGCAGCTATCAACCGCAACTTCCACCACGTGGGTTCGCACAACAGCAATAACAAGCTTCCACAACTCCAGACTCAAACTTGAAGAACATGCTAAAGCTACAACAGATTCTCCAAGAACAAACAACAGGAGCAATGGATCTGGCCAAAAAGATGGAAGAAATACACAACAAGGTCGATTGTAATTTTAATGATCTGAACACCAAAATTGAAGTGCTTACCTCTAAGGTCAGATACATGGAAGGCCAAAGTTACATGACTTCAAGGGAAGTCAATACAGAATCCAAAGGAATATGCCACTGCTCACGCCATCACTATCTGTCATGACCAAGAGCAACTTGACATGAATCTAAATCAATCACTCAGGACAATGAAGTTCAGGACGGGGAGGCTTCTAATTGGATTGAAATCTTAGTTGTTGAACTCGACCATTCAGCTGGATCTCGCCATCAAATTCAGTCTACCTTGGAAGAGAAAGCAACCATCATCGAGAGAATGGTAAACCGATTCAAGCCAACTCCATAACCTTCATGTGCTCTTCCATGGAAATTTAGGGAAGCTTGGACAGAGAGATACAAATCTCTTGCAGAGAAACAACTTGATGAGATGGAAGCGGTGATGCCTTTAATAGAAGTTCTCAATCTGGTTCCGGACCCTCACAAAGATGTGAGAAATTTGATACTGGAAAGAATCAAGATGTATCAAGATTCAGATGATGAATATGATGCTAATCCGTTTCAAGCTACTGGTAAGAGGATTGTTCAAGAAAAGTTGGAAGATCCTGTATCTTTCACTCTATCATGCTCCATTGGGGAATTGGCTTTGAGCAATTGTCTATGTGATCTAGGAGCCTCGGTCAGCTTAATGCCACTCTCTGTGGCGCGGATATTATAATTCATTCAGTACAGGCCTTGTGACTTGACCTTGATCCTTGCTGACAGGTATTCAAGAAAAAACCCTTCGACATGCTCAAAGATCTGCCCGTCTTATTTAATGGAGTAGAGGTGCCTATAGATTTTATTGTGCTTGAGATGAAAGCAGAACCTAAGGATCCTCTGATCCTAAGAAGACATTTTTTGGCCTCAGTGGGAGCGGTGATAGATGTCAAAGATGGGAAAATAAGTTTCAACCTTGGGAAGCACATCAAGCTGCAGTTTGACATCAACGAAACTCCAAAAAGGCCAACAAAAGAGGGAAAAACCTTTGAGATCAAAATTTGATCCCAAGAGAAGGATTTGAAACTAAAGGAGTAAAAGAACCAATCATAGCTCAACCTCGACCTTCAGATTAAACCACTTAATCAAGTACACTCTTTGCGCCTGATTTGCAAGAACTCAAAAAAATGTCTTATGTGCAAGAAGAAACCATAGAGAAGCTAGCCCACACTGTTGAGGAATTTAAGAGTCAACTGAATCAGATGCAAGGGAAAGCTCTACCTCAACGCGACATTGACACTATCTCTAGAAAAAGTTCACTTCAGAATGGTCTGAAGAAATAAACTATCCACTAGAAGAGGAAGAGGCTTACTTCGAGGAAAAAAGAATTGAGTATTCTGCTGCACATCTCTCAAGGGAGGATGCCGAGTATAATGATCCTCTCATGTTACTCATTTTCTTCCTAATAAGCCTGAGTCACGCTAGAGACTTTAAACAAGCTCACTTGGGAGAAAATCCCATGACTATCCCTGAATGATTTTTTTCGTTTCTTGTTATTTTTTATTTGTTTTGGTTGTGTTTCTGGTTCTCAGGAACAGAGGAACAGTTTGGAAATGGAGTAAAAATTTAAAAATTTACTCTACCAAGCACTAGGGGATCGAGTATACCAGTCCATAGGAGTCCAAAAGTTTGAAAAATATTTCTGTTGCACCCAAGTTACCTTGCAATCGAGTAGAATAGTCGAGTACATGTGATGACTTTACCCAAATTTTTAAAAAGTCATCATTATTCTTGACCAACAGAAGCTAAAGAGGCTTAAAGAGGATTTACTAAGTTTACACAGGATTACATAATGTTCTGAGACTTTTTTCAGTTAACAGGGAACAATGCTTCAGGACAAATAGACAGCGTGGCCCACCACCTCCCCTCTTTGTTCCCCACACCTATCACCAAAAGATAAAGAATTTATCTGCTTTGCTTCTCCACCACCCACTTACTTGACTTCAACTTTTAATCTTTTATATACTTATGTTCTTAAAGGAAAAAGTATCATAATTTTAATACATGTATAATTTAAGTTAAAAAATAATTTATTTCTTACTAAGATAACTTAAATGATAGTAGAAGTATAAATAAATAAATAACATTTATGTACAAAAGAATCAAAAACAAAATATTGTTAGTTTGTTACTATATGTGAGTATATTAAAACCATCCATACAGATAAACACGCTGCGCGGGTTAAAGACCTAGTTTATACAATATTAAAGTTTAGGTTATAAGCTTCTAAAGAAGTCCACATATACTTTTAAACGACTAATCGCAATTACACATGTCACTAATTAACATACGTAGAGTCTAATAATTTTCTAATTATTAGTTATAATTGATAAATTGTAAACTTCAATACAAATTATTGAATATCATTGGTTTAGAGTTATTGAAAATTGTAAATCACAAAAAACAATACATTTAAAAGCAACATTTAATATGTTTTCTTAGTATTTGTGTTTTTTCTAAAAGATCAAACAAAAAGGGGAGTTGAAGTATAAATAAATAAATAACATTTATGTACAAAAGAAAGGGGATAAATTCTTTATCTTTTGGTGATAAGTATATAAAAGAATAACTCTCTTTTATTATCTTTAGGAAACTCTCTCAAAACCTAAAGTCTCAATCTCTCTCAAATCCCATAAGTTGTATCACAACATTGATACCTCCTTATATAACAAAGCTTTAATCTAATCTTAACAATTAGATAACTCCTAATATCATAAGATAACTCCAAATAATATATTCTAGATATCTCCTAGAATAAAAAAGCTTAATCTCCTTTTCCTCTTCTTTAGTAACTTACTCCTCAAGTTACTCTCCTCAAGCTTATCCAACATTCTCCCTCTTAAGCTTGAACTCTTCTCCCTTTAAGTCTTGAACTCCAATGAAGCTTCTCATCTCTTTGAACTTGGATCGACCAAGTGCCTTTGTTAAAATGTCAGCCTTTTGTTCATCTCTAAAACACGTTCCACTTCAATTTGACCATTCTCAACACATTATCTAATGAAATGGTATCTCCTATGTATGTGCTTGCTTCGACCATGAAAGACCGGATTCTTCGTAAGGGCAATAGCTGATTTGTTGTCGATGCATATGGTTACACTCTCACTTGATGTACCTGTAATCTCACTCAAAAGATCTTGAAGCCAAATTGCTTGTTTTGTTGCCTCTGTTCCTGCCATGAACTCTGCTTCACAAGACGACATCACCACAGTGTCTTGTTTCTGAGAACACCAAGAAATTGGTCCTTTGCCAAGATAAAATATATGTCCTATTGTGCTTCTCTCATCATCTGGATCCACATTATGGCTGCTATCACTGTATCCTACTAGTCTTGGTATCTCCATGCTTCGAGTGAACGATATACCAAGTGTAGTAGTTCCCTTTAAGTACCTTAAACATTGTTTCATCGCAGCCGCATGTGATTCTCTGCGACTCTGCATATATATACTCAAAACTCCTACACAAAAGGACAAGTCAGGTCTTGTATGTAGCAGATATCTGAGACAACCAACGTTTCTTCTAAAATCTGTTGCATTCACTTCCTTTTCATTTTCTGATTTTTCCAAGATCAAACCAATTTCCATAGGAGTGTGTGCTAGGTTGCAGTCTTTCATCCCAGCTTCTTCTAAAATCTTGAGAGCATATCGACTTTGTGACAATATTATTCCTTCATTGTGTTGAGTTACTTCTATCCCCAGATAATAAGTCAACTTCCCGAGATCACTCATCTCAAACTTAGCAGACATCTCCCTCTTGAATTTGTTGATCAATTCTAAGCTTGTCCCTGTGACAAATAAGTCATCGACGTACACAGCAACAATGAGGAGATTACCTTTAACTTCTTTGCGGTAGACTGATGGCTCCTTAGAGCACTTCTTACAAAGAAGTTCAACAAGAATGTGATTTAGCTTGTTGTTCCAAGCTCTTAGGGCCTGTCTCAATCCATACAAAGCCTTTTTAAGTTTATAAACCTTATCCTCTTTTCCAAACTTCTCAAAGCCCTCTAGTTGTAAGACATAAACTATTTCCTTTAGTTCTTCGTGTAAGAAGGCAGTTTTGACGTCGAGGTGATGAATCTCCCAACTATGAGCTGCTGCTAAGTCGATGAGCAATCTTATTGTTTCAATTCGTGCTACAGGTGCAAAGGCTTCTTCGAAATCAACTCCATACTTCTGGACATACCCTTTAGCAACAAGGCGACCCTTGTATTTGTTTATGCTTCCATCAGAGTTTGTTTTAAGTTTGAATACCCACTTCAG